GTAGAGAGGCAGAAGGCAAGGGACAGAGACGAGAGAGGACAGGGGACATCCGGGACATGGAGAAAAAGACAGAGGCAGGGGAATGGAGAGGTCAACAGAGGGTCAGGGCAGAGAAACAGAGTCCAGAGGGACAATCGATCAGGTGCCAGGGAAGGGTAAGCCAGGCAGATAGAGAAGCGCTAGAGAGACAAGCTGGGGTCAGGAAACATGCTGGAGATCCAGCCGGGCTCTGGGCCAGCGCTTAAGTGGGAGAGGTGATCCGAGAAGGACGCTGGTGGAGGGAATCCAAGGGTGTCCTGCCCGGAAGCTGTCCACCCTGGGTCCAGAGGTGGCTTTGGGGGCCACATGGTCTGGCTAGAACCAGAAGGATAGGCCTGGGAGCCAAGGCAGGGAAGGGAGGGCCCGAGATGGCGACAGACCACGCTTGGCCCGGGATTCTCCCCTGTCTGTAATTGGGCCCTGGACTCTCAACTCCTGCACACACACTGACTTCTGGGCCAGTCTGTGGGGAGAGAGCCATGGACGCCAGTGGGGCCCTGTGGCTGAGCAGTCGTGCCGTCTCCATGGAAGAAGCTGTGGGCTGTGCTGCCACCGAAGTTCTGCCACTTAGGAGCTGGCGGCTTCACCGCCACTGCCTGGGCCAGGGACTGTCTCCGGGGCAACGCTGTGCTCTGCCCAGCAGTAGGGCCTGACCCAAGATGTGCAGGTGGGCTGGTCCAGCCAGTCTGGCCTGTCCATCCCCTTCAGCATCCCTCAGACCTTAACTACTTCCACCCACCTCTCTGTGTCACCCGCTGCCTCAGTGCACAACCAGCGTGAGGTCACTTGTGGCAGGTAATGATGCCCTCCCAGGCCCAGGATTCACTCCATCCTGCACGGGGCTGGCTCAGTGTCCCCTAATGGATGCCTGCGTGGAACTGTTGGAGGTAAACTCATGCCCCACCCCAGACCAGGAGCTTCCAACTCATTCCTGTGAGAAGCACCTGCCAGTATCTTGTAAGCACAACCGTGTTTCCCCATCTGGCTCCATTCTGTTTGAATCTCAGCTTATCATCACTTGCCATGTGCTGTGTTAACCAAGTCATTTTCTATCTCTGAGCTTCAGTCATCTTATCAGGAGGGCAACAACCCAGATGTGCTGGTGTCTGTCTGTAACCCCAGCACTCTGGGAGGCTGAGGCAGGAGGGTTGCAAATTCAAATCTAATCTGGACAATTTAGTGACTTAGTGAGACTTTATCTGAAAACAAAGTGTGTGTTGGGTGTGGGTGTGGCTAGAGATGTAGTGCAGCACCAAGGCAATGGGTTCAATCTCCAGTACTGAAAGACAAAAACTGGGGAACAATATGTCATGTGATTTCTGGGAGGTTCAAAGGGAAAAATAGATCAAAAGCACCTATGGAGCCGGACAGGGTGGTGCACACCTGTAACCCCAGCATTTGGGAGGCTGAGGCAGGAGGATCAATGTGAGTTCCAGACCAGCCTGGGCCAAAAAGAGAAAAAAAAAAAAATCAATAGGCAGGAGGATCAATGTGAGTTCCAGACCAGCCTGGGCTACATAGTGAGTTCCAGGTCAGTCTCAACTACATAGTCTCACCCCCCGCTGCAAAAAAAGCACCTATGGTGTGGTCTGATATAAGGTAGGGTGTTTGATCGTGTCTGCCTCCCTTCCCCTCTTCACACCTCTTTCTGGAAATCTTGTTGGGCTCTGGTGGATGAGAAGGAAGCAGGGCTCCTGGCCCCGGGAAGTTGACAGACCTGCAGTGAGGGTGAGCTCTGAGGACACCACAGTGTTGTCTGGCAGTGGCAAAGTGGCAAGGGGACATTTGAGAGCAGCTCAAAACCTGGGACTCCACCATCCGGGGCCTCTCTTAGCCCCTCAACTGGAGTGTGGCCTCCGAACTGGCTGTGTTGTCGAGAGTTGATTCCAGCGTCTTGGCCCCAAATAGAAAGGTCGGGTCCTGTGAGATGTTTGCATATAGTCAGATATTCCCTCCACTTGCCTTTCCACCCCACCAGAGACCCGGGAATCTCACAGCCAGCCCACCTCTGGGTTCCCCTGCCTTGGGGACATGTCCAGAACACAGGTCTAAGCTCAGGCTGTCCTGCTGGCCTCCTGTCCCTTGGTCTCTGCCTTCCTACTCCCAGTGACTGAGGGTCAGCAGGTTGTCTGAAACACAGCATCTCGCCCTGTCCTCCACCCATCTGACAAATCGGCACCTATGCTTAAAGAGGTCCTCCGGTGAGCTGTGCTCACCTTGGAGTCGGAGCACCATTCCTCTTGCAGATGATGGGAAATCAGCCTCATTCTCTGAGCTCCGATTTGACTTCCTCATCTGTAGAATGGGGAGATACCGACTGCAGCCCCACAGGGTTGTGAAGGTCTAGTGGGCAGAGCACGCTGAGCATGTATTTGCATGCTGCCTGTGGCACAGCAGGGGCTCTGGAGGTATCTGCCCTGCCCACCCCTGGCTGCCACACGCAGTGTGACACACAGCAGGGGGCGCAGAGATGGGGCTGGATGACCCCTCTGGGGATCAAGGACATGCACCCGGAGGTTGCAGGAGGATAAGCCAGAAATTGAAAAGCAGTAGATATGGAGAGGAGAGGCAACGGAGGTGGAACGGAAGGGAGAGAGGAGTAGGAGAAGGAAGGGTCAGGGGAGGGCGGTGGGCAATCCTGCCTTATTTCCTCTGGGTGGGCCAGGAGGCAGCTGTCTCGAGGAGGGGGCAGCCATGGATGATTGTGGGAACAGCTGGAGCCTTGTGACTGCCAGATGAGGCCCACCTCTCCTCACTAGCTGTGTGACTCGGGGTAAGGAACTTCACCTCTCTGGGCACAGTGTCCTCCTCCGGAGATAATTAAACCAATCTGAGACCAGAGTTGCTGCGTGGATGAGACAGGCCAGTAGTGAACGTCGCCCTTTTGTAAACTCCCGGGTGCTTGTCACGCGTGTGTGCTTGTGTTAGGGATACAGGCAGGGTAGCTGGTCATGGAAGAACTTCCTGCGGGGCAGGACCGGGTCGTGGTTCCTGGAGCACCGCAGCCGCGTCGCTGGAGAACTCAACCTAGCACCCAGGACCCTCTGTTCTCAGATCTCTGCCGGTCCGCTGCCCTCACCCCAGCCCTCTGCCTTCTGCCTCTCCGTCTGCAGCCTGGCCATCAGGAGCTCTCCTCCCAACGCAGCTTGCCGCTTTGCGCCTGGCTTTTGCAGTGTGGACGTGTTCCCAAGGAGCGGGGTGGGGGAGCGCGGGCTCGTGATTGAGTGCGCTGACCCTTTACCTCCAGGGAAGGTGCTGCCTGTGATGGGTTTGACCCAGGGGCTCGTCTCTGTAGGGTGACCCTGGAAGAGGAAACTAGAATCCGCTTCTCCCGCAACCGCTTTCCCACCCCAGCTGCTACAACTCCAGGGGGCGGCTGAACCTCCAGCCCGAGCCGCCGCTTCCATATCCGGGGCGTCAGCGCCATCTGGCGTCCATTCGAGAGAACTCTGCGCAGAGAGGAAGCAACTGCTTGTTAGTGTCCCGCCCATTTTAGGGCAGGTGCGGGGGACCCCAGACAGGTTGCTGCCCCTGTACACTCACACCAGTCAGCAGAGGCGCACAGTAGACAAGGAGACAAGTAAATGAACGAGATCATCTAGGGTCTTGATAAGTAGCTTGAGCAGGCCAACAAACTCAACATGGGTATACATGTCTGAGGGTGACACAAACTGACGCTCTGTGTGTGTGTGTGTGTGTGTGTGTGTGTGTCTGCGCGCGCGGGTGTGCGATATACAGAGACAGCAGAGAGATACAGAGACAGAGACATATGGGGTGGGTGCATTCCAGAAGAGGAAGGACAGCAACAGAGGCTGAAGAGGAAAGGCAGACAAGGGTCACATTACACAGAGATGTTTTTCTTTTTTGTGTGTTTTTTGAGGCAGGGTCTCACTATGTAGTTGGCAGGTCTTGAACTCACTACTGTGTGTATTCTAGGCTGGCCCCATGGTGATCCTTCGGCCTTGGCCTCTTGAATGCTGGGATTACAGGTGTGTGCCACCATGCCCTGCTTCACATGACTTTCAGGCTAGGGAAGGGATGTGACTTCCCCTTCTTGAAAATGGGAAGCCACTGTTGGTTTTAAAAATAAAAATTTCAAGCCAAGCATGGTGGCTGACGCCTAATCCCAGCACTCAAGAGGCTGAGGCAAGAGGATCACTGTGAGTTTGAGACCAGCCTGGGCTAGTGATTTCCAGATCAGTCTCAACCACATAGTGAAACCCTGTTGCAAAATAAATAAATAAATAAATTTTTCTTGTGTATATTTGAGGTTTACAACATGACAGCATGGGATACAGGTAGTAAAGGCTGGTGTATGACTTGATTCTGGCTGCTGTACAGAGAATGGAGGGACAGTGGTAAGAGGGAGGCTGGCTAGGAGGAGATGGTAGTGGAATGGGTGGGGATTCACTGGGCATGGAAGAAAAATGGGTTCTTTTAGAAGGATACTGACTCAGGATGATCTGTTGGATTGATGTGGGGCTGAGATGGAGATTTCAGGGATCCTAACTTGGAAAATTTGAGTAGCCATGATGGGGCCCTTTATTCAAGGAGATTTGTGGTAGAGGGTTGGGATTTGGGAAAATATCAGGAGTCCTGCCAATGATACACTGCAAGTTGGAACTGCCTTTTAAAATCATTTAAGGGAGGAAACCAGTAGAAAAGATGGAGGAATTCATTTTATTTATTTATCCTTCCTTCCTTCTTTCCCCCTTTCTTTCTTCCTTCCTTCCTTTTGTTAGTTTTGAGACAAAGTCTTACTGTGTAGTCTAGGCTGATCTCAAATTCCTAATCCTCCTGCCTCAGCCTCCTGAGTGCTGAGATCCTAGGTGTGCACCTCCATGTCTGGCTGAGACCTGGGCTTTATATTAGTTCCTTGGATATTGGGCAGGGGTGACCTCTGGTGGGGCAAGGAAGCTTGGAGTTGTCTCAGCCCTTTCTTCTATTTGCCCCCTACCCAGGTCTATACTCGCTATGGGAAATGTTACACCTTCAACGCAGATCCACAGAGCTCACTGCCCAGCCGGGCTGGGGGCATGGGCAGTGGCCTGGAGATCATGCTGGACATTCAGCAGGAGGAGTACCTGCCCATCTGGAGGGAGACAAGTATGCACATGGGAAAGGGTCAAGGGCCAGCCTGGGGACAGGGGCCTGGGCCCTCTGCCTGGGACGGGTCTCCAAAGGCCCTCATCTCTGCCGTGCAGATGAGACGTCATTTGAAGCAGGCATCCGGGTGCAGATCCATAGCCAGGAGGAGCCACCCTACATCCACCAGCTGGGGTTTGGTGTGTCTCCTGGCTTTCAGACATTCGTGTCCTGTCAGGAGCAGCGGGTGAGCGCCCCCTGCTGGCCCTGGTTGGGCAGAGGGCTGGGCCACTGTGCTCTGAGGTTGCTGACCAGACCCTTAGTCCAGAAATTAATGGCCCCCATGACCCTTGCTGGGGCTGGGTGGTGACAGCTGGGTGGGACTCCCAGCTTTGATCTCCTGCTCCATCTCTGCAGTTGACCTATCTGCCCCAGCCCTGGGGCAACTGCCGGGCTGAGAGTGAACTCGGGGAACCTGAGCTGCAGGGCTACTCAGCCTACAGTGTGTCTGCCTGCCGGCTGCGCTGTGAAAAAGAGGCCGTGCTCCAGCGCTGCCATTGCCGGATGGTGCACATGCCAGGTGGGCACCCACGCCTGGCCAGTCCTCTGTGGCTCTGCTGGGCTCAAGGCCCTCCAGGGGCAGAGCTCTGCTATGTGCTCGGGCAAGTGCATGTGTACAGGTGTGCATGTCTACGCCTGTGTGAGTGTTCTTGTATAGACGTTTGGGGTTTTATGTGTGCTTTCAGAGCTGCATCTGGGAATGCATGCATGCATAACTTGTGTGTGTGCTTGTGTGTTTTTGGAGTTTGTGTGCATGCACTCAGATATGCACATACAAATGCGTATGTGTGTAGATGTTAGGATGCCTAGGTTTTCATGCATATATGCATGAGGGTGTATAAGTTCTTCTGTTCTGCGTGTGTGCAGACATGCACATTTATGTGCATGCCCACACTTGGTTGTGTGGTGAGGGAGAGGGGTAGGGACCATAGATTGATTCCAGGAGTCATCTTCTCTCCTTTCAGGCAATGAGACCATCTGCCCGCCAAATATCTACATAGAGTGTGCCGACCACACACTGGGTCCGTGCTGTCTTCCCCTTTCCCTTCCTCCCCATCACTTCTCTTTCTGTACCTTTCTCCTTGTCCTGGCTCCCCTCCTTCCAGTCTCTCCCTGGAGGGTTCTTCCTGGGGGCTGACCTTATCCCATACCTCAGGGGTCTGAGGACCTCTGCAGGTGCAGACATTTGGGTAAGTGGGGACTGCAGTGGGGAGGGGAGGGAGCAGAGAACCCAGGACTGGGACTGAAGGACTGGGCTTTGCATCTCGACTTACCCAGTGAGCTCACCCTCTCTGAGAAAGCAAAATGACTTCTCTCTTGGTCTCAGGAAAAATGCATTGCTGGTTATAATTGTGGGTAAGGCACGCCCCCGTCTGTTCATAGGTCTCACCTGATTTGCATTTCATCTGTCCATCCATCCATCCATCCACCCATCCGTCTACTGGTTGATTTATTTGTTGTCCAGATCTTTACAGTCTGTGCTGGGTGCTGAGTTGAGAGTAGGAACAAGAGCCCTACCCTTATAGTGTGTATAACCCAGCAGGGCTGTGGACAGCTGTGCTATGGTAAACAGCTGTGTGGTAGTTTTTGGATAGGGAAATTTAGAGGTGCTATGAGACCCCAGGAAGGGGCTTACAGACCCACCAGGGAAGGCAGAGAGGATTCCTAGAGGAAGTGACATATCAGCTGTGGCTTGAAGAGTGCATGAGAATCAGCCAGGTGTAAAGGGGGACATGTTTTAGGTGGTGGAAACTGTATGATAAAGATCTGGTGGCCAGACAGAGTGTGCTTTGTGTAGGGCCCTGAAAGACTGGTGTGGCTGGAGGCAGGGAGCAGGGGAGGAGGAGAAGAGGGAGGCCCTGGGAAGCCAACAAAGGCTTAAGGCAAGGTGGGAAAGTCATCTGATTTTCCATAGGTGAGTGTGATAATTGTGGTGTGGCTAGGACTCAGAGTGGCTACGATGAGCTTATTTCAGTAATCCAGATGTGATGGGGTCCTGGGGATGAGGACTTGAGATGCTGAGGCATCAGGCACACCCAGACTCTCTCCATGCCCTGCACTACCCGCACCTGTCAGACAGGTGAGTGAGAGTGCTCGATGCAGGAGCAGATGAGCTGGGTGTAGTGGTGCATCCTACAATCCCAGGACTCTGGGAAGCTGAGGAAGGAAGACTGGAAGTTTGAGTCTAGCTTGAGAAACTTTGCAAGACCCTGTCTAAAAATAAAACAAAAAGGTCTGGGGATGTAGCTCAATGCAAGGAGCTTGGGTTCAATCCCCAATATGACTAAAAATGAAAGAAAGAAAGAGAGCCCGAAGGGATTGAGAGTCCACAGAATTAAGAACACCAGGGAGTCTTCACTCTTCCACTCTTCCATAGGGAGAACTATGGAACCAAGAGAGACCAGGGGAAGCATTAGCCACCATCCTGGGGAGTGGAGCAAGGTGGAAGTGGGTGGAGAATGGATTTGAAGGGGCACAGAGAAGCCCACAACAGAATGTCTGAATCTCACCTGTCACTTGTTTTTCCATCCATCCATCCATCCATCCATCCATCCATCCATCCATCCATCCATCCCAGAATCCTCTCCCTGCCTCTTCCTGTGTCTGAGGCCTCATGTGGCTGACTAGCTCTGGCAGATCAGCTCTGATCTTGCTCTGAACCACAGGACCTCCCTGTCCCTGGGGATTGGGTGCAGAAGGGTAAGCCTGTGAAGGTCCTGCCTTCCAGGATAGTCTGTAGCTGGTCCAGGGGACCCTAAGCCAGTGTCCTCTTTGAAGGACATGCCTGCCTCCATACAGCCCCCACGGCCCCTCCCTGCAGCTAGTGGGTCCATGGCCTCTCTCCCCCATTGCAGTTGGTGCCTCTGTGTTGCAGATTCCCTAAGCGGGGGCTCAGAGGGGCCATGCTTCTGCCCTACCCCCTGCAATTTGACCCGTTATGGGAAAGAAATCTCCATGGTCAGGATCCCCAATAGGGGCTCAGCCCGATACCTGGCAAGGAAGTACAACCGCAACGAGACCTACATACGGTATGTGCTGCGGCCTGTGGTGTGTGTGTGTGTGTGTGTGTGTGTGTGTGTGTGTGTGTGTCTGGTGCAAGGTGGTAACTGGGTGTGGGTTCGTCTTTGTGCATGATGGGGCTTCTTCCAGGAATGTCACTTGTAATCATTTTCTTCTACCTTCCTATCCTTCATGTCACATCCTGCGCCACCTCTAGGGGAGCACTTCTGGCCCACAGCCTTTCCCATAAGCTCCCACAGCACCTTGTACATATCTCTGCCATTGCATGGACCCCATTACATAGGATCTTTTTTAGGTCTCTCTCCCAGCAACCTATGGAGCAGTTAAATGCACACAGAGCGAATGACATGCTGAGGGAGAGCAGGAGGGTGGGAGGGGAGAGGAACCAGAAGGGCCACACTGAGCCTTGAGTCTGGTACCTGGCAGCCGATCAGCAAATGCTCAGCACAATCTGTGCATCAGGCCCAGTGCTGGGTTTCACGGGGACAGATGACTATGATACAAAACCAACACACAGTTTGTGAATGAGACATGTTGGAAAGCATAGTGCTGATTCACAGGCCCCAGTGGGTCTTTGAGTTTGAGAGAAGGGAGAGGAGGCATCCCACTTAGATGGATAGGTGGTGCTGGGATGAGCTGGGGCATTGGGAAGGCTGTGTGGAGAGAAGCTGAGAGGAAAGCAGTTTGGGTAAAAAGTCACTGAATTTTAGAGTGGACTGATGGGCAATAGGGAGCCTCTGAAGGCTCTAGAAGGGTTGAACCATGAGGCAAAGTAGTGGTTGTTGGTGCTTGCTGGCAGGAGTCAAATTATAAAGGCAGCACACATCTGGGGCTGCCCCCCAGCATAGCCTAGGGAGTCTAAGGGGCTGGTTACCAGCTCCCCGGAACATAGGGAGCTCACATTAGGATGTGCCAGGCATGGGAGGCCTGTCAGCAGCCTCTTTCGGAAGAGCAGCTCCACATGGATGCCCTCTTCCTGTCTCCACAGGGAGAACTTCCTGGTCCTGGATGTCTTTTTCGAGGCCCTGACCTCTGAAGCTATGGAGCAGCGAGCGGCCTATGGCCTGTCAGCCCTGCTGGGTGAGACCAGGCCCCTCCTCACTGCCCTGGGTGGATCAGCTCAGCCTGCCCCCCTGACCCTGCCCTCCTGCTCCCCAGGAGACCTCGGGGGACAGATGGGCCTGTTCATTGGAGCCAGCATCCTCACACTGCTGGAGATCCTGGACTACATTTATGAGGCAAGGGAGCAGGAGCTGGGAGTATGGGAAATGCAGGCGGGCAGTGCAGGCTCCTGTTGGGGCTGAGCTGGAATGATGCAGGATTGCTGGGCATCAAGTCCTGTGAGCTGGGCTGGCTAAGGCCCTCCCTTCCTGAGCCCACTGCTGTCCTCCCCCTGCCCCTCAAGGTATCTTGGGACCGACTGAAGCGGGTATGGCGGCGGCCCAAGACACCCCTGAGGACCTCCACTGGAGGCATCTCCACTCTGGGGCTGCAGGAGCTGAAGGAGCAGGTAAGGAAGTGCTCTGCAGACCCTCTTCCCAGGGCTGAACACCCCTAGAGTTCCTGAAATAACCTGCTGGGGCCCCAGGAGACTGGGAAAGGCCCCTGTGAGGCCTGGGGGCACTGCTTGAATTAATTCCACTCCTTCATCTTGCAGAGTCCCTGTCCGAGCCGGGGTTGTGCTGAAGGTGGGGGCGCCAGCAGCCTGCTCCCCAATCACCACCACCCTCATGGCCCCCCAGGAGGCCTCTTTGAAGACTTCGCTTGCTAGGATAGTGCTGTGTCAGAGGACCCAGGAGTCTGGGACCCTCTCCGGACCCCCAGCTTCTCTCCTGCTCATGGGACAGAAGGCCCGGGACAGCCCGGGGCTGAGGGGAAAGGGTGGTGCTCACTGCCAGCCAGCACTCAGCTCTGGCTCTCACAAGACCCTTGCCCCAGCTTCTCTGCACAAGGGTCCTCCTTGTCCAAACTCCCCACTCCCAGGCTGATACCCAAGGAGTGCTGCAGACCATGGGCTCCTGTGGAGGGGAAGGAGGGAAGGAGAGGGAGGTGGAGCTAGAGCCCACCCTGGCAGGATGGAACTCTCTGTACATTTGTATATACTTAGGGCAGATAGGGTGGGGGGGTACAGATGTAGAAGGTGGGTGGGCCAGGGTGGGTGATTCAGGGAAGGCCAGGGTCCCAGCCAAACGTCAGCAGGAGAGGGCGAGCCCCTAGGAGTCAGGTGTGCTGGGCTGATCCTACGTCCCCCTCTCCAGGGCCAGCTCCCCTCTGAGCAGGGAGAGAGAGTGGCCCAGCCAGCCTGGCTCAGCTCTCAGCTCCCCCTGCACTAACCCCAGCCCGAGTCCCTTCCACAGGGAGCAGCCAGACCTTTCAGACCTTGGCTGATTTTGGGGGATGGAAAAGGAGGCTTCTCAGGCCTCTCCCTCTCCAGACTGGTTTTATAAAGTGCTGACAAAATTGGGAATAAAGAGGCATAAAGAACTGTGTGTGTGTGTGTGTGTGTGTGTGTGTGTGTGTGTGTGTGTGTATATGACCCAGCATGTGCTGGGCACCTCCACCCTTGGAGTCAACCCTCCCCCCACCCCATGCCTACCTTTCAAAGACTTGAATTCACCAGTCTGCGCACAGCCAGTTTATTAAAGACAGGGAGCTTCATTGGGGTCTAGAAGGGAGAAGTTGGGAGGTGCCCCCTTCTTCTCTCAGGTCCCCCATTCTCCAACAATTCATCTGCAGCCCAGCCCCCAGGATAAAACCCCAGGAGGCATGGCTGGCGTCAGGCAGACTATACTGCATAAATACACGGAGGCCACAGCCTGAATCAGCAGCGTCAAGGGGACAGGAAGACTGGGCTTGGGGCAAGAAGGGGTGGCTCTGGGGGCACCTCCCCCAAGGCTAGTCCTGAGCTCCTGGGCCCACAAAACCAGAGTTAGGGGACCAGTGGGCTGCCCTGGGATCTGAGGCTGTGGCCAGCCCTGTCCTGCGAGGCTGGTATGTGGCTCTAGGTTGTTGGGGAGGAATGGGGCAGGGTGAGGTTGTGCCAGGGTGCAGGGGCTCAGGGCGGAGTCAGGTACTGTTGCCCTGCTCCTGTTCGAACAGCAGCATTGCGAGCTGGGTTCGGGAGCCAAGGCCCTCAAGCATGCTCTGGCGGCATCGGTGGTACAGGTCCTCACTGAGCCGTGCACTGCACCACTGGGCCCGGTAGCGCTGCAGCAGTGCCGGCTCTACTGCCCGCAGCACGTGCAGGCTAGAGAAGCGCAGGAATAGCTCATACACATCCAGGCTTTCCAGCAGCTCCTCCTCCTGCTCTGAGGCCGCTGCCAGCTGCCCTCGAGCAGCCACATAATCGGAGTTGTAGAAGCAGGCCTCGTTGGCTGCCTGGCGATCAAAGCGGCCTGTGTCACGACCCAGCTCTGGTGGCCAGGGTCCCTGTGGTGGAGCCACAGCTGGGTGGAAGGCCTGGAAATGCATGGGAAAGAAAGCCTGCCAGCCAGAGATGGCATGCATTCGGCAGCGATTCAGGAAGTCAGGTGTGAGCACCGTGTCTGGCCCGGCCAGCAGGAATAGTGTGTCCAGTGGGTGCTTCTTGGAGAGTAGATCCATGAGGCGCAGTGGAGAGGGTGCAGCTGTTTGCACACTGAGCCAAGGCACGCGGGCCCCAGGAAAACGCCGTTCCAACTCTGCCACATGGGCCTTAATGGGTGCAAAGACATCTGCATGGGCTGCCCGCTGGGCCTGGCGTGGTTCATATAGTAGTAGCAAAGTCAAGGCTGCTGAATCACCAGGCTCCAGGGCTGCAGTGGCAAAGGCCTCCAGGAAGTTACGGGCCAGGTCACGCTCAGCTGCAGCCATAGGCAGCAGCACAGTGAGATGTGAGGCCTCTGTGACATAGGGCACAGGCAAGATCTCCACTCGGCTCAGCGGCCGGAGCAGCTGAACCCGGCGGGTGAGGGGTCTGCGGCCACCCTGAGGGGTCAGTGCCTCCAGCTGCAAGTCCAGTGTATACTCCATACCCCGGGCTGGATCGAAGCGTCGGTAGCCATTAACCAGCTGCTGCTTCTGGAGTCGCAGGGCTGGGTGGTAGCGGCGGTTGAGTTCTTCCAGGGCTGCCCCTAGGACATCAGCTACATCAGCCCGATCAGCCCCACGAAGTGGGCAGCGAGGTGAGCCATCAGCACAGGAGAAAGCATGCTGCTCTGTGAAGTAGTCCCAGCGCAGGACCTCAAAGCGGGAGGCAGGGCGGGATGGTGCTGGGATGCCCACGGGCCAGGCAGCGGCCCGCTCTCCATCAGCAGCCAGATGGCTGGTGTTCTGGATCTCCCACTGCACCGGAGAAACAGGTCATGAGCAAGGCAGAGCACACAGCTGGGGGGCTGGGGATGGCAGTAGGTACCTTGCCAACTTCTGCCCACCCAGGGCCTCAACCCATCCTTTCTGCAAACGGAGCCAGCTTGAAAGTTAAAAGAGGCATTTCTGGGAGGCTCTTCAGAGAGGCTGAATCAGGACTGGACAGCAAGTTTGTTCTGGATTCTAGCATTAACTTTTTGTTTCCTGGGACTTCTGAGACATCAAACCCTGCTCCCCCTTATCTCCACTCATTTCATTCTCCGCGCCCACAAACCCAGGTCATACCTGCAACTCCCGGATCTCCTGGTATGTGCGTTCCAGCTCGGCTCGGGCAAAAGCCTTGTGCAGCTGGTACATGTGCACAGGGTCACGCACAGGGTGGGCTGTCAAGGCACTTCGGAACCGAGGATCCCCTTCCTGTACGGACTCCCCAGGACTCAGCTCCAGATAGTTATAGTGTACCCCCTGGGGGGGAGAAGAGAAAGGGTCCATTATTGGAAGAATGACATATTAACTTCCCCCTTATTTCATAGTGTATCATCTCCTCATCCTACAACCCACTGTGGATTTGGAGTCAGATTTCTTTGGGTTTATGTCTACTTAAGTGACCCGTTTTGAGCATGGACAAGCCTCTGCCAGCTCATCTGTGAAACAGACATGCAATGTCTCAGAGCTGTCAGGCTCAAATAAAATAAAGACTAACAATGAACATGGTGAAAAGTTCCCTTATTTTCTCTAATTCTTATAACAATCCTGAGTGATAATGGTCTCCATTTGAATGCATAATACTGAAGGTCAGATTTATTAATTTATCTAAGGTCTCAGGGATAGAAAATAACTGGCATGGAAATCCAGGCCTGTATCTGAACCACCCCTCTGCCCTCAGAAGAAGAGGGCAAGCTCAGCCAGGAGGTGCCAGTGAGGAGGCTTATCTTCCCACCTCGTGGTCACCAGTGCAGCCCACCCCGGTGGCATCTATAATGCAGCGTCCCAGCCACTCGTCAGGGCGTGCACTGACGATGTCATTGCGGCAGCCTTCCAGGTGGGGGCGCAGCTGCTGGAGCAGGGTGCGCGACAGCAGTACCCCAAAGCCTCCGTGGCAGTAGCGGCCTTGGGTAGGCTCTCCGCCAATGAAGTCCTGGGGCCTCCCTAGATAGAGGTGGGCAGCGGAGGCCAGGCTGAGGCGGCCAGTTAGGCGTGCCACTCCGTGCGCCTCGGTGTAGGTGGCATCAGGCACTAGGAAGAACCAGTCAAAGTCGTCACCATGCTGCTCCAGCAGGTGGCGCAGCGCCAGGTGCAGGTGCCCGATGGGCCGCTCTTCGCCCAGCGTCACCACTGCCATGCCAGATGGTGTCCGGCGGCCCCGCGCGCCTGTCAGGAACACCACTCGCTCTAGTCGGTGCCCCAGCGTTCGGTTCACTGCCACACCCAACGTGGGCAACGTGGCCTGTGAGGTCAGCACCGCCACCAGCAGCCTCTGCCTGATGCCCAGCTCTGTGCTGATGTATCGAGTCCTGGAGGAGGAGAACTCAGGGTCAACAAAAAGGCAAGACAGGTGGGAGAAGTACACACGAGTCCAGCAGGTCCTACCTTCTCAAGCCGCTTCTTCATCTATGCATAGGATAAGAATAACACCTATCTCCCAGGGGTCGTGGGGTTTAAATGCAATACCTGTCTTATCCACGTCGTATTTTGCATTTAGAAGACAGCAATATCCATGCAGAAAGACCCCATACCATGGGTCTGATTCCTGACTTCACTACTTAGTAGCTGTATCCTTAGTTTGATGTGTTATTTAACCTGAGTCATCTGTAAAATGGACTGGTGTTAGCTATTCAAAGCACTTGGCAAATGTTTCATGTACCATGAATATACTTATTTCTATGTAAATATGCTGCTATACCATAAAAATATCACATAAATGATATAGAGGAATTTATGGTGCAGAGGTGTATTGAGCGTGTTTGGGGAAGGGACAAACTAGGACAGTAAGTCACATCTGAAAAGCAGAAAGTTGTAAACCAGGAATTTGAGCCCAGTGTTACTAAGGAGAAATTGTTTCAACTCATAACCAGAGACATTCATGAGATGAATATATTTCTTTTACCCCATCTCACCCCAGGTGGCCCTAGTAACCCATGCAGGAGTGAGATATAGGTAAATTTTAGTTCTCCTTTTCCCCCCCTTCTTTTACACTCTACACACAAGTTGTTTCTCAAACCCCTACAGTACAGCCAGGAAGCTAAGAGGATCTTTGGGGGACCACAGGGCAGAACCAGCTTAGGACAGAGGTAAGCAGGTTCAACTCAGGCCAGGATGAGACCCAGAGGGGGCCTCAAACTGGCCCCACGGCCCGCGGGTAAACAGGGCTATAGGAAATTATCCGGGCCCAAAGACTTCCTGGCCGGCCAACCCCTTCCTTCCGGAGCCTGACCCGGCCTCCGGC